TCTAAGACAATTCCAAAGAACCTGTGATGAAAAATGCTATCCACCTCCTGAGAGAGAGAACTGATGAACTCTGAATGCAGATTGAAGCATACTTTTGGAAAACTTTCTTTATTTTTCTTTTTTTTTTGTCTATGCTTTCTTTTCTTTCATGGCTAGCATGGAAATATGTTTTGCATGATTTCACATGTATAAATGACATCAAATTCCTTGTCTTCTTAAAGAAGGAGTAGGAGTGGGGTGGGAGGGAAGGAGAGAATTTGGAACTCAAGATTTTTAAAAAATGAATGTTAAAAAATTTTACATGAAATTGGGAAATACTTAATGAAATAAATAAAAATATATCAAAAAATTTAAAAGGGTGGAGCTGGAGAAAGCGAAACTATGGATGTTGAGGGTGAAAGATGAAATAACTGATGAAACAAAGGTTCAAGCTTCTGAGCATATTGATTTATTAAGCAACACATGCCAAGTGCACAACAAATTGAGGCCAGGCCTCCTCAGCTTTGGCACTGGACCCCCCAAAAAAGGGGAGAAAGATTTTTATGCATTAAAAATGATTAATCAAATAAGACCCAATTAATTAAAACAATCAATGAGGATACAAAATTAGGTAATCTGATTTCTAATAGGAGGAAAGATTAGGGGCTTTCTGAATTGGAAGGAGGAAAACAAATAGATACAGTTTCCTGAAATCAGTAAAAAACATATTTGACTTGCCCCCTATCCCCCCAAGTATCTATATTCAATCAAAGGAATAAAAAAACAATAACTGATTGACCAGTATATGGCCAGTTTTCATATAAAACATATGGGCTGCTTGAGATACACAACTCTGAAAACATTTCTTGCATCAATCTGGATCTGACTGGGTTTCTAGTCAGCATAACCTAGGTCCTTAGTTAAGGGTCTCTAAGCAGCAGGTAGAGGTGATCCAGCCCCCCAGCCATGTTGGGCTAGGTTCAAATAATGCAATAAAGTTTTCTCACCTTTCCCAAATCCATAACTAAATAGAAAGGAAACTGAGCTAGATCCAAGTCACAAGATGGAGTCGATGTGGTTGACTCAATTCTCACAATTCCCTCATGGGTAGCAACTTAGAGCTAGAAAAAGGAAAGTTGTAGGAATCCATGTGGACTGAAGAAAGCAAAGTATAGTCAGAGGCATTCACCACAAAAAAAAAACACAGAAAGAAAGAAAGAAAGAAAGAAAGAAAGAAAGAAAGAAAGAAAGAAAGAAAGAAAGAAAGGAAGGAAGGAAGGAAGGAAGGAAAGGAAGGAAGGAAGAAGAAGAAAGGAAGGAAGGAAGAAGGAAGGAAGGAAGGAAGGAAGGAAGGAAGGAAGGAAGGAAGGAAGGAAGGAAGGAAGGAAGGAAGGAAGAAGAAGAAAGAAGAAGGAAGAAGGAAGGAAGAAGGAAGGAAGAAGGAAGGAAGGAAGGAAGGAAGGAAGGAAGGAAGGAAGGAAGGAAGGAAGGAAAGAAAGAAAAAAAGAAAGGAGAAAAAGAAGAGTCCAGGACTTAGGGAATAAGGCTGTTTTGGCTGATTGGCACAAGGTCGATCAGGAAAGAATCTATGTTGCTGAAATCTCTCAGACCAGAGTCCAGGGCAGTGATCTTGTATCTCCTTTCTTCCCTTAAGCATCTTAGGTGAAGTTTTGTTTTTTTTTTTCCTGTGAGCATGGGAGGAGTTAGTCTATCTTTTTTTGTTTTAAATGTTTACTTTGTCCTATAAACAGTGGTAAACACCTGAAATTGCTGGCCAGGATTGTACTTATTGGTAGTACATTTGGGATGATGCAACTGAGGAGGGAAACTGCTCCAGAGAAGATATAGAGATGGTTTTGTCCCTAAGGTGCTTATGCCAGAAATGCTGTCTCTGACTGGGGGCTTGGAACTAAGAAAAAAAAGACAAAAAGAATTATATTTTTTTATTAATTTATTTTGATTTATCAACAATCACTTCCATAAGATTTTGAGTTTTAAATTTTTCTCCTCTTCCCTCCACACCTCACTCCCCAAGACAGTGCGCAATCTGACATAGGCTATACATATACATTCATATTAAACATATTTTCACAGTAGTGGTTTTGTAAGGAAGAAATAGAACCAAAAGAAGGAACTACAAAAAAGAGAAAACAAAACAGAAGAAAAAAAAGAGCAAATAGTGTGCTTCAATCTGCATTCAAACTGCATAATTCTTTCTTTGGATGTGGATAGCATTTTCCATCATGAGACTGGGAGATGTCTTAGATCCTTGCATAAGCTAAGGGCTAAGTATATAAAAGTTAGTCATCACACAAAGTGGTTGTTACTGTGTACAACATTCTCTTGGTTCTGCTCACTTCACTTAGCATCAGTACATACAAATCTTTCCAGGTTTTTCTGAAGTCTGCCTGCTGATCATTTCTTATAGCACAATAGTATTCCATTACATTCATATACCACAACTTGTTCAGCCATCCCCCAGTTGATGGGCATCCCCCCTCAATTTCCAATTCTTTGGCACCACAGAAAGAGCTGCTATAAATATTTTTATACATGTGGGTCCTTTTCCCATTTTTATGATCTCTTTGGGATATAGCCCTGGAAGCACTATTGCTGGGTCAAAGGGAATGCACATTTTTATAGCCCTTTGGGTATAGTTCCAAATTGCTTTCCAAAATGGTTGGATCAGGGCAGCTAGGTGGCCCACTGGATAGAGCACCAGTCTTGGATTCAGGAGGACCTGAGTTCAAATCTGATCTCAGACACATAACACTTACTAGCTGTGTGATTCTGGGCAAGTCACTTAACCCCATTGCCTAACAAAAAAACAAAACAAACAAACAAAAAGCTTATGGAAGTGATTGTTGATAAATCAATATAAATTAGTTAAAAAAAACATGAAAGGGGGCAGCTAGGTGGCCCAGTGGATACAGCACTGGCCTGGAATCAGGAGGACCTGAGTTCAAATATGGTCTCAGACACATAACACTTACTAGCTGTGTGACACTGGGCAAGTCACTTAACCCCATTGCTTAATCAAAAAATAAAAAAAACAAAAACAAAATGGTTAGATCATTTCACAATCCCACCATTAATGTTCCAATTTTCCCACACCTTCTTCAACATTTGTCATTTTCCTGTTTCGTCATGTTGGCCAATTTGATAGGTATGATGTCGTGACTCAGAGTTGTTTTGATTTGCATTTCTCTAATCAATAGTGATTTAGAGCATTTTTTCATATGACTATAGATGGTTTTAATTTCTTCATCTGAAAACTGCCTGTTCATATCCTTTGACCATTTATCAATTGGGGAATGACTTATATTCTTTATATATTCTTTAATACTACTTCACAGAGGGAAAAAGGAGTATTTATACCTTAAAAACTCATCTGGACAATAAGTCAATAGTAGAATAAGGAACATATAGGAGAGTCTGCTCAGCCCTGATCAAAATATCATCCCCTTAACACTGCTACAAATGTATTTCTCTTGAGGTAACAGTTGGACATTCAAATGTTAAGTTCTCAATCCAATCCAATAAATTAAATAAAAGTATTTATTAAGTACCTACTCTGTGCCAGGCACTGTGCTAAGCTCTGGGGATATAATTAATGAAAAGAAAAATATTCCTTGCTTTCAAGGGGCTTACAATCTAATGGGGGGAGACAATACACAAAAGGAGATAGGAAGGGGGAAGACAAACATTGGAACTGAAGCACAGGCAAGATATCAGGGCTAGTTTCGTCACTTTTTTACAGACTAAGATCTTATTTCTTTTATATTGTGGTTTTGCTTTTTTTTCCCTTCTAATTACATCAGACTTCAAGCAAGGCTAGTTCAAATTCACTTCAAATTAGCTTGATTTCATTTGTATTTATTGAGAACCTTTTTTTTTTAGTGACCTAAGTATGATTTCACGGTTTAGATAACTTCCAGGGGCCAGACTTCTGCTAATGCAGATCAGCAACTATTCTACAATGGATAGTCTTAGAGAGTTGCTTGGGAGGACTGAGAGACTAGAATCTTGCAGGGTTATATAGCCAGTATATGGCAAGGTGGGACTTGAACCTGGGTCTTCTTGACTCTGCCTCTGTTTGATTACCTCTAGGCCTATAACTGTGTTGGATGCTACAGGGACAGAAGAATGTAACAAAATCCCTACCCTCAAGGAGCCAACCAGCTAACACATGTCTAGAGGTTGGCTGACTACTAGACTAAGGGATTCAACAAATGATTCTGAAACTGGAAAAGTAAAAGGAACACTAACACTGTAATCTAAACAGTATCTTAGGAAATAGTAGAAAAAGCACTTTGAATTGTGTTTCATATACACACATGGCTTGTATGAACCAAGAAAGATGGCCAAGAAGAGCTAAAACTGGATCTGAGAGCCAGTCGACTTGTGGAGGAAGGCAAGGCTGGCTGCAGGGTCAGATAGCAGAAAGCCTTGGGCTACAGAAACACTAGGGCTGGCCCCAACTGCATTCAAACTTTATCTCTTCACCAGCTGGGCCTCCTCTAACAGTTACCAGCCAGGCCTCAGTTATAAATACTTGGACTCAGTTGATGCCAGAAGTGAACTCTGGAGGGTTATCTTTAATTTATAAAGTCCAGGCCTACAGTATCTGATTCACTCAACCTCCCTGGCTTCTTTTTCACCCTGACCTGCTTCACAATTAGTTTTAAAATACTATATAAACAAAGAATGCCCCATTCAAGCAAAAGAATCATAATCATTCTCCATTCTACTTTTTGTTAACTTTGAGCCAATCATTTTGCTTCAACTATCAAAGACATTTGAGTTTATAGCTTCCTTTTTTATATCCAAAATATCATATTTATTTGTCTATTTTAAACATGCTGCTGTTTATATCTTTTGCTTTCATACCACTTTCATTTCTAAGTACATCTTTTTCTCCTCTCCAATGAGCATTCCCTTGTAGCAAAGATTAAAAAAGAAAAAGAAAAAAGGCAGTCTAGCAAAACTATGTAACAAATCAATGAAATCTGAAAGTAGATACAATGTTCCACAACCATAGACCCTCACCTCTGAAAAGAATGAATGAATGAAAAAGCATTTATTGATCATTTACTATGCCCAAGGTACAGTGCTAAGTGTTGAGTATACAAATATCTCCAAAGTAAGACAGTCTTTGATCTCAAAGAGCTCATATTCCAATGGGAGAGGTAACAGACAGAAGATTTCATTTCCATGTCAGATGTGGTTCTTAGAGTGCAGCAGCAAAGCAGATGATAATGCCTCTTCTTTAATATCATTTCCATGAATGAAATCATGTATTTCTGTTGTTGAATTGTCTGACAGTGACAAAAGCTTGGGTGATAACTTTGTTTTGTGGGTCTTCAGTGGTGTGACTGCAGTACCCGAAAATGCAGTTGCCAGGACACATCTCTAGATGCTCCCCCAGATGATGGCTACAGGGGTTGGACTTGAAGCACAGCCTTCCCAAGGTTGTTGGGTTTGGGGTCCTGAGCCAAAAAGAGGGACTGACTCACAGTCTCACCAGCTTTAAAAATGTAGCCTGTTTTGATCAGGCAACCAATTAAAGGAGGCTCCCCCCCAACACACAATAAAGGACACAGAATGCCTCCATTTTAGATGATCTGGACATACTGTAAAGGCCCTGTTACACTTATACTAAAGGACCAGACTGTGACTGAAATAGTTTGATATGTTAAGCTGGGCAATAGTCAAAATAAAAAGAAGTGTATTAGCCTGTGATTGATTCCTTTCTCGAAGAAAGAGTAGTTTAGTGATTCTATATGTATATATCTTAGGTGAAGACCCATAGTCCCAAGGTCTCAATAAAGAACAATTCATTTCACGAATTCTGTTTCTATTTCCACTTCTGTTCTCAGAGACTAATTATTTGTCTTCAATTATTGGGGGGGGGAATCCTTTTTTTTGTTTTTTTTTTGGGGGGGAAATTTTTTAATGTAAATATAAATGGAGTTTAGAATGTGGGTAGCTAGCTGGCACAGTGGATACAGTGCAGGCCCTGGAGTCAGGAAGACCTGAGTTCAAATATGACCTCAGACACTTATTAGCTGTGTGACCCTGGACAAGTCACTTAACCTCTGTTTGCCTCAATTTCCTCATCTGTAAAATGAGCTAGAGAAGGCAATGGCAAACCACTTTAGAATCTTTGCCAAGAAACCCCAGACGAGGGGCAGCTAGGTGGTGCAGTGGATAGAGCTCTGGCCTTAAAGTCAGGAGGACCTACGTTCACATATGGTCTCAGATACTTGACACTTACTAGCTGTGTGACCCTGGGCAAGTGACTTAACCTATTGTCTCACCAAAAAGAAAAAAAAAACACGAAAATGGGGTCATGAAGAGTCAGACACAACTGACCAATACCAACAAAAATTTAGCTATTATAGAACATAAGCTTGGGGTCAGAAGCTATTGAGTTTTTGAATTTATATCCCCAACACCTAATATAATGTCCTCTACACAATAAATAACAAATGTTTGATTAATTAAATTCATATGTAGGCTTTGAGTTGCAGAGCACCTTCCTCTGCTACACACATAGTAGCTTCTCTCAGTGTTACAGAATCATTGATTTAGAGCTGGAAGGGACTTAAAGGTCGTCTAGTCTAATTCCCTTAATTTATAGATGAGGAAACTGAAACCAAAGAGCTTGCTCAAGGTCACTGTTGAATGTTAAGTTGGATAATTGACTGACATGTCTGATTCCCATAATTTCTGCTTTAGGAGAAAAGCGCAGTATATTTATGAAAATAACTCTCTACCTTCTTCTATTCTCTATTTTTTTTTTATTTCACCTACTCTGAATTAGCTCATTATGGAGATGTAAAACTTCTGAGGCAAAGTAAAGGATGTGTCTGCAGGGAGGTTACCACATTCCCAGAGAGGGCACTCTCCTGTTGGCCCAATATTTCAATCATTGCTTACATTAGCATAATAGTAGTCAGCAGGGATGCCCCTTGATCTGCTGGACTGAGATGCTTCTCGTGGCAGTACATTAGTATGTGTGCTTTGACTCTCTGAGAAACAACACATGCTAAAGTATGTGTGTAACCAGCAGCTCATGGTTGGTCCTCATGTGTCCCGATTGCTGGTGGCCGTGCAAATGAGGATTGGCGATTAAACCAAGGACAGCTGTCCACTCTGTGTACCCTAAGGAGGGAGGAGAGACAGTTTCTAGTCTCTTTCAAAGTACCCTCTTCATGGGTTTAGTCAATGAACTTGACTTTGATTCTAGGGAAAATTCTAGAATGGGAAGGGAAAGAGAAGGGAATAAGCATTTATAGTTATCCCTTCCATATCATGACTTTCCCATCATGATTTCAATGTATCACAGGTTGGCATAAGAAATTCAATGGAGGGGCAGCTAGGTGGTGCAGTGGATAGCGCACTGGCCATGAAGTCAGTTCCTGAATTCAAATCTGACCTCAGACCAAACACTTGGCAATTACTGTGTGACCCTGGGCAAGTCACTTAACCCCAAGTGCCTAAAAATTTAAAAACAAAATTTTTTTTAATTCAATGGAAATTTTTTGGAGTTTTGCAGAAGCTGCAGACAACAGAAAAAGTTTACAAACTCAGAAATGCATCAAATATATGTATAATAGTGTATAATATCTATAATATTTTATCTTTTAATACCATAATAATTCAGACTTCTCTGGTATGAAGGGAGGGCCAAAAAATCTTATGTGAATTTTCCAGATCACAAGGGCTCTGCACCCCTACCACCTACACACACACACCACACACACACACACGCACACACACACACACAATGTGTAAGGGGATAACTGTATATAGTGCCTGCTATATAGCTTTTTAAAAATATTATCGCATTTGATCATTAATGAGATAGTTACTAGCATTTATGTAGTGCTCTTATATTTGCACCAAGCTTTATGAATATTAACTCATTTTATTCTCAAAACAATCCTGGGAGGTAGGTGCTATTATTAATCTAATTTTATAGACTAGGAAACTGAGACAGAAAAAGGTTGTGTCCAGAGGCTGGAGTACTCCTTCGAAGAGGTGGGAGATCTAAGAGTATGGTTCATTATATACCTTTCAGTCTTTTTTGATGTATTGATTAGTTTTACCGATTTTTTTTTTGCCTTTTTCCTTTTTTTTCCCTTTAAACAATATTATTTATTATATGAGATGGCTTTTTAGGAGAGGGACAAGGAGAGATACTAGGAAAAATTCTGATGACATGAAAAAGGTATTGGGCCTCAGACCAAACACTTGACACTTACTAGCTATGTGACCCTGGGCAAGTCACTTAACCCCACTGGCCTAAAAATTTTTTTTTAAAAAAAAGGTATGAATAAAAATCTATTTTAAAAAATAAAGTAGGGGCAGCTAGGTGGTGCAGGGATAGAGCATCAGCCCTGGAGTCAGGAGGACCTGAGTTCGAATGTGACCTCAGACACATAACACTCACCAGCTGTGTGACTTCAGGCAAGATATTAACCCCAATTAAGATCTGGGGCATTTAGTAGACCACAATATTGATATGACTCAGCAGGATGATGCTGCAGTCAAAAAAGCTAATGAGATAAAAGAGAGGCCCAATTTCCAGGGAAAATAGGTGATAGTCTCTCTGAGTTCTGGCTTGGTCGCACCCTGACTTGAATATTGTGTTCCATTCTGGACATCACAGGTTAAAAAGGGCAATAATGATCAGACAAACATCCAGAGGAGGGTAACCAGGATGGTCTTTTTCTAGGTCCTTTTTAGGTCCTTTAATCCACGTCATTTGAAAATCAGTTAAAGGAAGTGGAGATAAGCCTGGAAAAGAGCAGACTGGGGGGAGGTGGGATAGAGAAGGAAGAGATGATTGCTTTCTTCAAGTACAGAGGAGCTGTCTTGGGGAAGAGGGATGAGATTCGTTCTACTTGGCCCCAGAGGGCAGAATCAGAAGCGAGGAAGTGGTAGGTACAAAAAGGCAGATTTAGGTTGGGTGTCAACAAAAACGTCTTAATCAGAACCATTACAAAACAGAAAGAGATCTCTTGGGAGGCAGAGGATATTCCTTCCTTGGCAATCTTCAAGCACAGACTGGAAGCCCATGTGTCAGGTATATTACAGCAGGGCTTTGTTTTGAATATAGATTGGACTAGAAGACTTCTGAGCTTTCTTCCAACTCCCAAATACTACAATTCCGGGATTTTTTTTTTGCTTTAGGGAATATCCTTTAATTCTGTTAGGAATTTTATCATTCCTTTCATTTCTTTTATTTATCCCCCTCCCCCATCATTCCCCTTGCCCCTGCAAATGAAATAGAAAGGCTCCATATGCAAAGAAAATTAAGAAATCCATGTAGTTACCTTAGAGAAGAATAATACTTAAAGTTCCAAAGTATCATACATTATGGTTGAATTGTTCAGCATTATATCAACCTCTTTTAGTTTTAGAATACAACAAAACAAATTTAGTATTAAAATTGTTAGGGGTAAGAGATGGGGTACACTGTGGGCCTTAACAGGAGTATTTCTGGCCAAATTCTTCTTTGGATTGAATGCATTTTTTTTTCTCAACTGTTTTTCACTCTATCAATTGTGTCTCTGGAAAGCATGGAGGGTAAACTGAATCTGAGTTCAAATACCACCTCAGACACTTTCTGTGTGACCCTAGGCAAGACCCTCTCTCAGCCTCAGTTTCTTCATCTGTAAAATGAAGAAAATAATAACATCCACCTTGAAGAGTTGTTGTGAGGATCATAAGAGATAACACACATAATGTGCTTTATAAACCTATAATTTAGTAGTTAGTGTTACTATTATCACTGTTACCTGTAGAAAAGCTGCACACTTCCAGTTCCAAGTCTCTGCATCATTGTATCCACTCAAAGCAGGGGTTACATTGTTCTGCAAATTTTGTGTTTTGCTGCTATTAAAAAAACAAAAACAAAGACAACTCACCCCAACATATTGACTTCATATGTTACTTTAAAATTATGCTAACAGATTTTTTTGTTATGTTGTAATCAACGAGTATGTGTTCATTTCCTCCATCCTCCACACATTTCCTTCTCTGCCCTCTTGATCTCCCTGCTGAAATTACATCTCTGCCTACAGCTTTCTCATTCTGAATACAGACAACTTAACTTTCATTAAATAGCACAAGCTTTCCAACCTGAGCTGGTTTAGAACTCGTAAAATTCCATAGGCAATGACCAAATTCACCCCCAGTCTTTAGCAATTTCTGTGGCAGATGCAATGCACTGGTTTGAGTCACCACACTCTTGCCTGGGATCCAGGTGTCCAGTCACTTGCATGGCAAGATGGTTGACTTTTTAAAAGCCCTGGAACTAAGTTCTATCAATACCTTTGCCTTGGAGAGACAGCATGGTAGTCCTTCCAGCTACAATTTACCCCAAAAGAGTTGAATAAATGGTGCCAACATTTTATACTGCTATTCTGTACACAGTTGTTATTGTTCAGTCATTTCAGTAATGTCCAACTCTTCATTCGGAGTTTTCTTGGCAAAGATACTGGAGTGGTTTGCCATTTCCTTCTCCAACTCATTTTATAGATGAGGAAACTGAGGCAAACAGGGTTAAGTGACCTGCCCAAGATTACACAGGTAGTAAGTGTCTGAGTCCAGATTTGAACTCAGGAAGATTAATCTTCCTGACTCCAGGCCTGGCACTCTATCCACTGTGCCACTTGGATGCCCATGTTAATTAATAGGTACATATTGTTGTTTGTCCATCATTTTTGAAGAGGACTAATGACATCATAGGGTGATGTCTTGATTCATGCATGAATTGGATTTAAGTGAGGCAGAACTGCACAAAGTCATCAGCTTCACTCTCTCTTCTGAATCATTGAAGTCCAGGGGCAATACAAAAGTCAGAATGACTAGCAATGGCCTGGGATACAGGGGATGACCTTGGTTTCTTTGATGTTTGGCTAAGCTCCACAGCTCCTGCTTCATTCACCTTCATAGCTGTTGGAACAAATTGTCCTTATCTGCTATTTTATGGGGGGAAGTCTTCACACGCTTGGGTGTAGATACCCCTCTTAACTCACAGACATGTTTGAGGCCCCTAAGTTATCCACAACCTAAGTTATCCATCTGCTGAGATAGTTTGTTTGGTTTTTTTAGCCAGGATGCAGCCACTGCACATGCTACAGCTTTTTGGGCCCACAGGTGAGAACTGAGTGCCGAGGGGACACCAAGCATGGATAAGCAGCCCTGAAAAGGGCTCAGCAAGCCCTCATACCAGAGGTGCTATTCTCCTTGAAAATTCCATAACCCCCCCGCCCATGCACCATATACACACACAGATACATATGCAATACATACAGAGGAAATAGGAAGAAACCTCAGAAGAGAAAGCTCTAGCAACCGAGGGGATTGGGAAAGATAACAATGTTCCGGTTCATATTAGCCAATAGAGATTGCATCTTCCCCTCAAACCAGAGGTTTTAGGATGTTTTCCCAATTTATTTACAAGGCCATTCAAAGCTTGGGAGGTTTGATGCAGGCCACATGTACATGATGAAGGTAGAAATGAAGCTCAGGAGAAGGAAGACAACAACCTTGTCCTCTTTGCTTTTCTTTTGCACTTGCTTAGGTACATTTGCATGTAGCTCAGACCCACACAGCTCTGTGGAGTTTGTCAGAACCCCATTAAATGTGCTGAAGAGCATAAAATTGCCATAAGAGAATTAAGCAGGAGTTAGAAGGACTTTCTAATCATAAATCAAATGGCAGTTTACAAGCATGTAGATTCTCCTAGAAAGTTAAGTTGAAAAATCCAACAATTGGAGACATTCTGCCAGAGTTTTGGTCTTAATTGGGGGTAGTGTCTTGAGGAATTGTCAATAAATCTGTATCAGGAAGAAGTCTTTTAGTCACTGCACCATAGCAGACCTATTCTGAGATCATATTCCATGCTAACACACTGTGCAAAAAAAAAAAAAAACAGAGCATCAAAATCCTTGTAGGGCAGACCTCCTGGGAGCAATGTGATGACATCACCAGAAGACTTTGGTTGCCTGACAACTCTGGAAGTGGAAGTTGCCCCTCCCTGCACGTCCAGGACATTCATGCCTTTGTGTATCCATAAGACACGAGTAAACATCTAAGTATTTTTTCAGGTTTGTCTCCCTGATGGTATATATACTTTGTGGAAGAATGTGCCCCTGGGGACAAGTGGTTTGGGAGAGAGATGACTTTTCTTACTGTGCTATTTCATGAAATACCTTTGTTTTGAACTAGTTGTGTCCTCTGCTTAATAAATAAATGTAAACATTGTGTGGGACAATGAGCTTGGAGTGGTTGTAGATCCAGAACATTTTGAACCCTGGCTTGCCTCTCTGATAGCAAGGGAAGTGGCCTAGAGGCCACATGTGTATATATACATATATATATACATATATATGTATATATATGTATATATATACACACACATATATATAATATACATACATCATCCATACATACGTATATGTATATATACACACATATATACATATACATACATCATACATACATACATATGTATACACACACCCATATACACACACATATATGCATATACATACATCATACATACATATGTATACACACATATATACACATATATGCATATACATACATGCATACATACATACACACATACATACATACATAAGCATTACATGAATGTATACTTAACTACCAAGTTAACCACCCTGCTAGCTACTACCTGATCATATTCACCAAAAAGGACTGGGCTTTGGAAAGTTCCATGCCCACCCAATGGTTTACATGTTCCACCTTACTGAGGGAGGGTGTTAAGAGTCAAATTAGTGGAGAGAGTGCTAGACCTAGTGTCAGGAAGATGTGAGTTCAAATTCAGCCTCAGATACTTAGTAGCTATGTGAGCCTGGACTTCCCTGTCTGGTTTAGTTTTTTCATCAGTAGAATGAAGATAATAATAGTGCCTATTTGTTGTTATAAGGGTCAGACAAGATATTTGTAAAACACTTTTCAAACCTTAAAGTGCTATATAAATGTTAGTTGTTGTTGTTGTTATTATTATTATTATTATTATTATTATTATTATTATTTCTCAAGGAGTGGGTGACCTCCTGTTTCCTAGCTCTGCCTCTTTCTGAGTGTCCGTACTTGTCTCAGTAGTCTAAGGGCTGTGGTTAGTGAGGACTTACACAATTAGAATTGTTCCTGATCCCCCATCCACTCTACCCAAACCCGACTTCCTCCCTGAAAATGCTACCTTTGACTGTGCCTTAATTGATTGACCTTGGCATAATGAAGTCAGCCTGATACATGAACAGGCAGACATTCGGGAAATAGCATGGTTCAGTGGGAATGTCACTAAAACTTAGACCGGGGTGGGGACCTGCAGCCTCAAGGCCCCATGTAGCCCTCTAGGTCCCCTTTGACTGAATCCAAACTTCATAGAACAAATCATCCCCCCCCTTTTTTTCCAAGTTTTAGCTAAATTTAATTAAACATTTTAAAAGTACTTTTTAAGTAAAGCTGGGCAGCATTCATTATCGTCTTCAAACAGATCAGTGATAGTCATCTATGGAAGTACCCACCAATACCTTCTTGTATTATGCCACCATCCTTGTTCATATCCTAATTTACACAAAGGCTACAGCCAAGATGCCTAGATCTTTCCTATAGATCCCTTAACATAGCATAGATGCCAGTCATGTTTAGTTATCTCTACAACACTCACTGCCTCCTTTTATAGTTACAGATCTGTCTCTGATGGAGGTGATCGAGGAGAGGGACATATCAGACCTGTGTTTTATCCTATAAGCCTCATTTCCAATGAAACAACCCACCAAAAGCTAACCTTAAAAGTTTCCTTGGGGGGCAGCTAAGCAGTGGCACAGTGAATAGAGCTCTGGCCTTGGAGTCAGGAGGACCTGAGTTCAAATTCAGACTCAGACACTGAACATTTACTAGTTGAGTGACCCTGGGCAAGTGACTTAACCCCTTTTGCGTCACCAAAAAAAAAAGGTTCCTTGAAGGGGGCAGCAAGGTGGCAGAGTGGATAGAGCTCCAGGTCTTGGAGTCAGGAGGACCTGCGTTCAGATCTGGTCTCAGATACTTGACACTTACTCACTGTGTGACCCTGGGCAAGTCACTTAACCCCAATTGCCTCACCAAAAAGCAAAAAGGAAAAAAAAATTTCCTTGAGGAAAAAAGTGAGTTTTCATAGGTTTCCTACCTTTTACTTAGAGTCACAAAACCTGAGGTTAAATCCTGGTTCTGCCATTGTGGGACCAGCCTAGATAATCAATCACTTAATTTCTCTGAGCTTCAGTATTCTTAGCTACAAAACCAAGCTACTGGACTAGACGACTTCTCAGGTCCTATCTAGCACCATATCTATGACCTTTTACTTGAATGCTGCTATCAGTGGTTAACTTTTTTGCACAGAATCCATTCAAAAGTATAAGCCATACACAATAATAGAGCACCTCCCATGTGGTGGCATGCCTGCAGCTTTTCCTAGGCTCAGGTCCCACAACCAGTATAAAGGTACATTCTTGAACTCAAAAATTTCAGGAAATGTACAGTTAAGTTGTAGCAGAGTTGAGTTGTTTAGTTGCCCAATCTTTTGGTTATTTGACATGGAACTGTTTTTCCAGAAGTCTATCTTAAGTGTTCCATGCCTACCAGGACTACACCTCAAAGCTTTCCAGGATGGTAAAACCTAGCAGAGCTTAAGTTCCATTGCCATAGTCTTTAGGAACTGAGGGTTACCTCCATGACATCATGATGTTATCAGGTAGCACTTTATAAAGGGTGTCCCCAAAGTCTTAGGGCAGTCTTAAGCTTTAATAGCTTTAACAAGCTATTAAATTTAATAAGCTCTAATTTAATAAATTCAATAAACTTTAATAGATTAAAAGTGC